GTGGAAAGCAAACCTAGGAGTGCCAGAGAGGAACGGCGGGGGAGGGACACAGTGAGCGGCTGTGACTGACACAGACCGCTGTGTGTGAGAGACGCTAATCAGGACCCACTGTCACAGCACAGGGGACTCCACTCAAACTCTCCAGGGGTCCATATGGGAGAAGAGTCTAAAAGAGGGGCTGTATGTATCGCTGATGCACTCTGCTGTACCCCGAAACTAATACATCATTATATACCACCTACATGCCACCAAGTGTTTTTTTTTTTTAATTTTTTTTTTTTTCATTTATTTTTATTAGTTGGAGGCTAATTACTTTACATCATTGCAGTGGTTTTTGTCATACATTGAAATGAATTAGCCATGGATTTACGTGTATTCCCCAAGATTACAACAGCAGAATAAAACTACAGTGAGGTACCACCGCACACCAGTCAGAAGTGCCATCACTAAAAACTCTACAAATAACAAATGGTGAAGAGGGTGTGGAGAAGCCTCCTACACTGTTGGTAGGAACGTAAATCAGTATAGCCACTATGGAGAACAGTATGGAAGTCCCTTAAAAAACCAAAAATAGAGTTGCCCTATGGTTCAGCAGTCCCACTCCTGGGCATGTATCTTTTCATGTATCCATGAAAAGACAGAGGCACAGTTCACAGTAGCACTATTTGCAACAGCCAAGACATGGGAGCAACCTAAATGTCCATCCACAGACGAAAGGATATATGTGGTATTTATACACAATGTACTTCTACTCAGCCATAAAAAAGAATGGAATAATGCCATTTGCACCAACATGAATGGAGCTAGAGATTATCACACCAAGTGAAATAAATCAGAAAGAGAAAAATGCCATATGATGTCACTTATATGTAGAATACAGATATGATACAGATAAACTTATTTATGAAACATAAACAGACTCACAGACAAAGAAAACAAACTTCTGGTCACCAAAGAGGAAAGTGGGTGAGGAGGAATAAACTAAGAAAGAGTCTGGGATTAGCAGATACAAACTACTATACATAAAACAGAGAAATAGGCTGCTACTGTATAGCACTGAGAACTACATGCCATCTCCTGCATAAACCATAATGGAAAAGAGTTTGAGAAAGAACATATATACAGACACACACACACATACATGCATACAAGACTGAATCACTCTGCTGTACAACACTGCAAATCAACTAAAAAATTATATATCAAATAAAACAACTTCTAGTTTTTAAAGATTAAAAAGTAAAAATACCAATGTCACTATGAAATGACAAATGGATTGATTACTTCCACTGATGGCTACTGAGGGTTATAAAGAGAAAATTTAACTATTTCAACTCATTAGAGTTCAAAGTAGCAAAGAAAAAAAATAAGTTTATTTGCAAGTCATTAGACCTTTCTTGGAAATATCAGTCTACTGAAGTTCCCTGAAATACCCCTTCCCAGACATCACCAGGAGCCGGTCACCGTGACAGCATGCGGCAGCCTCGTAGCCATGTGACATTCGCATTTGTCCACAGGGCCAGAAAACACCTGGGAGGAGTAAACAGGCTACGGACAAGAGCAGAAAGCCAAGAGCTGCGAAACAGCCATCGAAAATGAAATGCCACCGTTAGGCTGCAGGAATCCCATCTCAGGCTGAGGAAGTTTAACCACCTCCATTTGTTTTTATTCCTTTTCTTACAGGTGTTCATAGGGAAAAACATATACAGACTCACATACATCAGACTGAGGCAACTCTAAGGCAGACGACTGTGTCCCCCTGGACTTGCAAATGGAACAGAAAATAAAAGGAGGTGAGATATACACCAGAGCGGGGGTGAGGGTGAGAATGCAGAAGCATGTGCATGAAGACAAAACCAGTGAACACGGAGAAATGGTGAAATGTACTGCCAACTGGAAAATGACCATATTTTAACACTAAATGAGGTTTCAGGAACAAATGGCTTGACAGTATTCCTCTATTACTGAATTATGAACTGAGAATCTCAGGGTACCCAGAGCTAAAAAACTGAGAATACTGTAGTATTCCATGTGGGTACCATGTGGTATGGGGTCCATGAGTTGCCCTACTCTGGAACAAACTGAAAATGGCTAATTTATGAGGACTTTAAAGTAACATATTAGAAGAATGACCATTGTGTAAGAGGGTAAGGGGAAATTCTGCTTTAATAATTTGACAGTTAAAAATGAACATCACATTTCCCCTAATTCAATCTTGGTTTCCTTTAGCTAAATGTTTCCTTTCTTTACGACCCCTTTTAGGAACCAAATTGAAGGGCTGTTTAGAGCTAATTCTCTGGTTCTAAATATAACTGGAGCTAAAAAAAAGATCTTTCTCACTGGCAAGAAAAATCTTCAAGGTAGCTTAGGAATGCTCCCAGCAGCAAGCCAATGGAGACAGGAGTCTGACTACAGTGGCAGAGCAGAGCCTGAGTGCCACAGAGGCTAAGGCCCCTCTGAGGCTCACCATCAAGGGATTCTAAAGTTAGAAATGCGGGGGTCCGTGGCTGTTTCCACATCAAAATCACTGCAGTATAAAGCAGATCCAAAGAAATATTACTAAAGAAGCCTCACAAACCACATGAAACAGAACATGTGAGGCTAGAAAATTCTTCAAGAAAAGAGAGGATATTTCTCATGAAAGAGAATCTATCTATATTTCAACCATGCAGAGAGAAAACTGATTAGGTATCTTAATTTCTCTCCCAGCCAAGCAGCCTTCTTAACTGTTAACTCAGTTTGAGTGCTTACTACATATACATGGGGGTTTCCCTGGTGGCTCAGTGGTAAAGAATCTGCCTGTCAATGCAGGAGATGGGGATTCAATCTCTGGGTTGGGAAGATCCCCTGGAGAAGGAAATGGGAACTGACTCCAGTATTCTTGCCTGGGAAATTCCACGGACAGAGGAGCCTTTCGGCTATAGTCCATGGGGTCCCAGAGGCGGACACAGCTGAACTACTAAACAACAACAATGTATTCCTTGAGCATTGCTGGGAAATCTCACCAGTAAGACATGTGCTCACAGCTTCCCTGGTAGCTCAGATGGTAAAAGATCTGCCTGTAATGCAGGAGACCAGGGTTCAATCCCTAGGTCAGGAAGATCCCCTGGAGAAGAAAATGGCAACCCACTCCAGTATTCTTGCCTCAAGAATCTCATGGGCAGAGGAGCCTTGCAGGCTGCAATCTATGGGGTCGCAAATAGTCAGACACGACTGAGCGACTAACACACATGCATACACACACATACACTTGGGAAATAGCTCTCACTTTCTTTTTTGTGACTTTATCAGCTCAGCTCATGGGACAAAAGTAAATGAGCATTAAAAATCAAAACCAACAAATGAAGAGACACAAGAGAAATCAATCAAATAATGCACCTGTCCTACAGATGGCTTTGTTCACACTCCAAGACTGTTTTTAAAAGGCAAGAACAAGAAAAATCACCACCCAACCAAATTTCAGCTATTTAACAGTGTTTTTTAAGCTGTAGGTCAGAATACATTGTCAGATCACCAATTTAGTGGGTTGCTATCATTTTTTTAAAAAATGAAGTCAAATAGAATAGAGAAGAAAATATCAGTGTGTTTTGCAAGAAATAAAAGTACTGTTTCATGAAACTTTATTCCAAATGCACACATGTATATATGTACTGGGTCCTAATAATAAAATGCTGTTTTTGAGCATGAATTAAAATCTAAAAAAGTTTGAAAACCACTGAGCTCTTGGAAGCTGAAGTAACTAGACCAGAACAGAATAGTATAGAGAGACTGTGCTTGCATCATAAACTTATGAAGCTTATGAGTCAACTGAGCAGGCTCAGTCAATAAACAAGGATCAGAGTCACCCAAGAACTCTCGCATTGCCCTGGAGCTGAGAAGTGCACACTCTCAGTCTGAATGCACAGGAAAGCCGCCAGTGACACTGAGCTGAGGGAAAATGCTGGCCTGTATACCAAATCCCTCCAGCATTTATTGAGATCAAAGATAACCGGGCTCTGGAAGGAAACGAGACGACAGTGTCTACTTCCAGAGAACCATAGGCCAAAGCCACCATCGAAGGCCTTGCTCACTGACTGAGACGCCAAGCCTTCTGGAACAGGAGTCGGTGAAGCGGAAAAGAAACTGCTCTCCAAGCCCTGCCCAACCAGCCCCTCCTTCCCGGCACAGCTCAGCAAGGAGACGAAGCCTCTGTTCTGAACATGTCAGCTTCTTTTATTCCTGCCAGCTCCGGATCCCTGACACAGGCACCCTCCCTGCCCAGCCCCACTCTCCTGGCATACTCACACCCTCTGCCTCTCACCCTCTGGCCTGATAAAGTAGCCCAGTCCTAGCTGTGAAGCAGCCAGGGAAGCCCTGCACAAGGGACAGTCCTTCCCAGGCAGAGCTATAAACACCAGACAAATCGTACTGTCTTTTGGGAAATGCCACAAGACCTGTGTTCTCTGTGGGAGTTTACTTCAAGAGAGAAACAGACATATTCTTCAGGTGATACATCTCCATACCTCTTTATTTGAGCCAGATCTGTCCTCATGTTCTGAAGTCCCTTGGAAAGTAGGAGACATGACCTGTCTCACTTAGTAAATGATGGCAGATCTAAGGAAAAACTCAGAAGTTCTTCACTTGTTCTCAACTCTCTAAGAACATCAATCATATGATTGTTCCTTTTAGAAAGGGAGGGCTAGAGACAATTCTAGCCACGCCTTCCTGCTAAGAAATGAAAAGGGATTTCTAACCCTGATCCTCTTTCTGTAAAGGCAGGCTGAGACGTAAGTGTCATATTCTTCAGCTTAGAAAGGGATCACACCAACTGCCCAGGGCCTTGCAGCAGCAGAGGCAGGGAGGGGCACTGCCACAGTCTTCTCTGGTTTTCAGCTCCCTTTGACTCTACCTGCCAATGCTCAGAGCCCACAGGACACATTGCCAAATTACTTTCTGAGAAAGCTCAGCTACAATGAAAGCTGGTACCTATGAGTGCAACTGTGTAAGGACGAGATTGGTACCTGTAAGAGAGCATGGTGCATCGTCACCTCCAGTTCGGCTAAAACATGGGCAGCGTCCTCACTGTCCTCTTGGACCTCCAGGTCCTCCTCAGGGATGGTCTCCCAGTTGCCCTGGTGAGCAACCAGCGTGTGCACTAGTTCATACTGGCCAGGGAGCGCCAGGCTGACCCGAGTCTGATTCCCATAGGTGAAGCGGAGGCGCCGAAGCTTACAGTTCTCACCGCCCAGCTTGTTGGTGGGAAGCACCTGCACCCCCAAGAGCAGGTTCAACAGCTGGCACTTGACATTACAGTCCTGGCCGAGGATCAAGACGCAGGGCAGGCAGTCCACCATCTGCTGGAGGCGCTTCTCTTCCTTGGGTGGGAAGGAAATGCAGCTCAGCTGGCCTGGGCAGGGACAGGGGTGGAAGGAGAAAGGAGTACAGAGAGAAGAGTGAGGAGGGGTAGACAGAGACTGACACAGAGACCCCATTAGATGTCAGCCTCCTAGAAAAGAAACTTCTAGGAAGCTCTTGGTTGAAGGAGATAACCAGAAAAACATCCCAGTCAGAGAAAGTTTCTCAAATATCACATAGGATTCCCCTCTCTGGCTCACCCCCAGAGCAGTTCTTTCTTTCCAGAAAGGTGACACTGACCTAATGTGCCCTTCCCGACCCGGTTTCAATCAGTGGAGGGACAGCCTAAGGAGTTTACAAGGACTCCATCAAAGGACATTAAACTGACAAAACCAGAAAAGACTACGCTACTGGGATGTGAGTCCAAGGACTGAATGCATGCATTAATGCTCAGACATGTACGACTCTTTGCGACATCATGGACTGTAGCTTGCCAGTCTCCCCATCCATGAAATTTTCAAGGCAAGAATACCTGGGGATTCTTTACCACCGTGTTACCTCAGAAGCCCGCAAGGACTGAACACAAATCAAAATAAAAATCTTCCTTGTGCACAAAACCTAACACTTGAACACAGAAAGGTTCTTTAAAATGACTCTATCACATGCAGTTTCCATTTATTTTCCTTATTTATAACATATTTTATTAAAACTAAATGTGTGTAGTCTTTTAACACACATACATTGAAATAAAATGTTATTTGAGTGTGCATAAGCTTAGAATCTTTTCCAGTTCATTTCTCTGATAGCTGGTAACAGCATCCCAGCTGCCAAGTCATTTGTTTTCTTAAAACACTGAATGCTTAATTAAGATCACTATCTCTAATCAAATCATATTCTTTCAGTTTATGGAAGACAAGATCCCAAGTAAGAAAAAGGGGAAAGGACTACCTGTTAGGATAAAATCCAAGCAAATCAAGGAAGATTTGATGTATCTCAGAAATAGCCTTTCAGGATACACTCATCTATACTGCAAGCTTCCACAAAACAGATCAAATAACACTCAAGAGAAAACAAAAGGCTTCCTAAAGTATGAGAGCTTCCGTTTGGGAAAAGGAACCAGAAATTTGTTGACTGGAACTCTCTGATTCCGAACTCAATCACTCCCCAACTTGTTCAGTGACAGTGCCTGCCCAAGTCTAAGATTCAGGCAACTTCGTGTTTCTTCAGAAAGGCACAGACACACAGTTCTTAGGCTGTTAGAAAGCCGATCTGTATTTGAAGCCACATACATACATCTTCATTAAAATTTAGGGTGGCACCAACTGAAACAGTACTTGCTTTAGTCATTTAACCATGAGCTGCATTAAATCATGCATAAACTGTTTATTTTGTTTATGTAATTGAAGCAAGAGAGGCCAGATTCATTTAAAAGGTTGTCCTACTTCTGACTACCTGCATGCGTCCCCCTAGTCACGTCCAACTCTGTACAACCCCAAGGACTGTAGCCTGCCAGGCTCCTCTGTCCATGGGATTCTCCAGGCAAGAATACTGGAGGGGGCTGTCATGCCCTCATCCAGGGGATCTTCCCAACCCAGGATTGAACCCAGGTCTCCCACATTGCAGGAAGATTCTTTACCATCTAAGCCACCAGGGAATCCCAAGAATACTGGAGTGGGTAGCCTATTCCTTCTTCAGGGGATCTTCCCAACACAGGGATCAAACCCAGGTCTCCTGCATTGCAAGTGGTCTCTTTACTGACTGAGCCACCAGGGAAGCCCCCCAACTCTACCTATCCTGCTACAAACTCACTATTTTAAATTTTCTCTCCAACAAATGGCACCAAAAGGTTTAAAGAAGTTGGCTTTCACTCAGACCCCTTTATGGACTTCATTAAGCGCCCCCTTTCATGTCTGCCTGCTAAGTACATCACCTGGTCAGCACACGCACACCAGCACCACCAGACACCAAACACGGAAATCTATTCTCCTGGGAAAGAGAGGAGACAGCAAAACGTTAACCGAGGGCCCAACTCTATGCGAGGCATTATCAAGCACGAGGGAAGAGCACTAGACAACTGGTCTAATTTCTGACTTACAAAAAGCAAGGGGACACAGCCCCTTGTGTGTGTGACCACTCAGTAAGTAGGGAGTCCTGAGGCCCTCCATACCTCACTGACAACTAAACAGCATTTACTACAGTTGTCAGGGAGGAAAAACAATTTTCCTCTACCCTTTTAGTGTCCTCTGGCTGGGTCTAAGAGTTAAATTGACATGAGAAAGATTAACAGCAGAAAATGAAATTTAATTACATACACATGAGGAATCTGAACATGAGAGATTCTAAAGACAGGTTAAATGAGATACATATGTTATCCTGGACTAAAGAGAGGGGGCAGGGGGCTGGGTCTTCAAAGGGAAACAAGGCAATTCACAGAAGAATGGAGAGAATAAATGTTTGGTAAACAAATGTTTGCTGGGCCATCCAGGAACAACTGGACATAGAGAAGATTTTGACCCCCGACTATTACACCTGGTTCATACTACACTGTAGCTAGCTCTGGTGATAGGCCCTCTATATAAATTCATTTAGGCAGTTAAGGTAAGGAAGATAAAAACTCTAGCTAAACTTTTTGTTTCTTTAAAACAAACAGCCTAAAGTAATTCTCATACCAAAGAGACACATTTTGGGATGGCAAATCTTGCTCACCTCTTCAGACTATTCTAGTCGTATGTTTATAATTACCAAAGGCAGGAAGAACCATCATATTTGTCTCTGTATCCTCAACACCCAGCACAATGACTAAAAAATAGTGAGTGTTTTGTTATCTGTTTGCTTGCTCTGTGTAAGAATTTATTTACCATTTATTCACCATTGAGAACTGTCTACAGAAAGTCGTAAGGGGCTCTACTAAGTACTCAGAAAAACCCAGTAAGTGATGAGCAGCCCAGTAACATGAACAGCAGACGAGCAACCGTCACTCATCGCAACATGGAGAGCAGAGGTGGGCAACAGAACAAGACCCCCCCACTCAGCAGCGGGATTTGCCAGCCGGGCTCTGCCTGAGCAGGAGGGCTCCTGCTAGACCCGCTCTTACCTGTATTTTCTCTCTCTCTCCCCCCAGTCCCCCTCAGGCCTCAGGTGGCTGTCTAGGTAAGCTCATACTGACACCCTTCACAGGGCCCATGACAAAAGCTGGTCCATAATAACAACAGTGAGTCTAAATGAGTTTTGTGACTACTGCTGTTGCCAGGAGAGTGGGTAGCAGAGAACGAAAACTAACCAACCATTTTTCAGGACCAAAGGAGGAGATCTCAACACCTCTGAGACTACAGGAAAACCAGTAAACCATGTGGCACTGGCCAAAACCAGAGCAGACACATTCATTATTCATCTGACCCAAAGTATCACACCCCCATCTCTGCAGTGACAGAAACAGTCACTATAAATAAACTCGCTGGAGTCAGACAACTGTAGGCCAGTGCAATAGGAGAGGGGGCTGACAGTGAGTCCAGTTCGAATTTTCATCTCCAGGCGCTTTGCTAGGGTTGTGTATGCAACTTACTGGACAGAGAAAAGATCTTCAATATGGATATCTGCATTTGGTCTTCAATATGTCATTATCCAAGCTCTTTGCTTCTCCCACTAATCTTTAGTTTTTTCATTGCTTTTCAATGTGTCTACAAGATTTGAACAAGAGCATGGAGAGAAATGAAGCTGAAACTAGACGGTTCCATTCCTCGATCCCCTTGGCAAATAGTCTGGTGAGGGCGGACCACAGCAGGCGGTGGGCGGAGCACCAGCCGGGGCCTCACCGCTGACTGGCCCTGTGACTCTAGCAATCCACTTGTTTCTCTCAGCCTCGGATTTCCCATCTGTGAACTAGGGAGCTGGATTAGATCATCTTTAACATGCTTTCCAGTTTCAAAATTCCAGGATTCCATCAGGTTTTAACTGTTGAAAGAAAAATAACTGAGGGGGCTAGGCTGTTGGTCTGGTTGTTTTTCAACTACAGGTGAAATTAATTAGGAGAGCTCCCCTGGACAGCTACAGCTGCAGATCAAAAGGTGAGGGAGCAAGAGGGGGGGGGGGGGTGGCTCTGAGGGCCTCCCCAGTCTCAGCAGTTCTCTAAAGAAGAGATGAAAAACGGGAGAATGACAGGAGGGAGGAGGAAGAAAACCTGTTTCAGAGCTAAAGCAGCTGCTTCACTGACAGTTAAAGGATTTTTGAGTTAATCAGGTTTTCTTCTGTAATTAATATAACAGCATCTGCATATGGGACTGCCAGAAGGTAACAGCACCGCCTCTCAGCTGGAACACATTAACCCTGCCAACTCTGACTGCAGGAAAATTCAAAGCAAATTGTCTTAAAAGCCAAGACTTTTTTTTTTCCTTTATGATTCTTAAATACAGATTATCTTGGTTTGGGTTACTTCTAAACAAATGTTTCAAATACAAGAAGGAGCAGCTAAGCAGCAATGCATTTTGTTTATCTGTTTCAGATAATGAAGGGGAACAAAATATATCATCCCAAAATATGCCTCTTTGACATACTATTTTGAGGTTATTTTTAAGAAACAGCAGACACAGGTGAAGCTCTGAAAACTGAGAAGTTACTTTTTCTAACAGACATTTATAGTTAAAAGGGAAATCTCCCATTTGTAAGGGTATATTCCTCCAGTTTCAGGAAGAGGAGGACTCAAAATGTCTAGAAACTCATTAATGCAGAAGGCAATCACTTAAAACTGCCTAACAACCTTACCCTTGTTTATTGTGCTTTTCCTGATAACCACCCATAACTTCCCCCCACCTCACCCCACCCCAGTGTGTTTTATCTTGAGCTAGAGACAATATTGAAGGTATTGGCACGCGCCATTTAGGAGTTATTCAGTTTCTCCTGGGGAGCTCCCATCTGTACACATCTGTCGTTTTTCCCTCATTAGTCTGTCTTTTTATAAAAGACAAGTCTCAGCCAAAAATCTAGACGGGTAGAGGGAAAATTATTTTTCCTCCCCCACAATAATATTTACTATAATATTTATTATTATGATATAAT